AACATTCAATGCAGCTTCTTTTCATTAAGGCTCAAATCATCACAACAGTAACCAGATAAGAAATGGTATCTGATCGCGAAAACATTCAAACATTAATAAACTAAAGAAATTACCGTAAAAAAAACGACACTAGAACGCAAATAACTTAATCACTCGTTAAAATTCGTGTTTAAAACTAATTCTGAGAACAAAACTCTGGTCAGAGAACAACTTTGCTTGCACTTGATTTGTGCCAAGTTCTGGTTCAGTTGTCCATAAATCGACGAGGTACACGTCTGACCCTTGACGGACGACCCACTGTAGAGTCCACCAAAAGTGAACTTTGACATTGCGATTTCGATGAGGAGGTGTACAAGTTCTCTTCACAGTAAAGAACCTAAAAGGACAGTTATATTTCTTAATCGTTACTTACACAAAACAAACCAAAAGTGGCCAACCTCCATTGTAACGATTACTGTGAATATCCATATAAAACTACACATGAGCTACAATCAAGAAGCTAATTAAATGTTAGAAATTTAGCAAAGTTTAGGCTACCATCCCATAACAACAATTGGCAATAGTCTCATTTCCAGAGAAATAATGAAACGTACAACTTTGCCTAATCTTTAACTATCGAGTGTTCACTGTTTTCAATTTTCTGGACTTGGAATTAAAAAAAAAACGATGACAGACAGTCGAACTCAATAAACGAGCTCGTGTCAGCCAACCTCGTACGGACTAGTGTCTGCCGCTGCAGTTTCATCGACCAGGGTGTGCATATCTACTGAATGAAGACAGGCAGTTTTTGGCATTTCAAGGAATCAAATTCCACGCCTCATAATCAAACCAGATGGTAGTACGAAGGTGTGAGATTGGAAAATATGAGGAATAGATTAAGACATCAGATTCACAGGCGTATAACTTGCCGATGATCATTTTACACACGTCTGCCGCCTTGAGATAAAAAATGTTCCAGCGACCAGTCAGTTCAAATTGTTTGTGTCACTAATGAGCAGTAATCAGCAGCTTTATTTACCTTAATTTTATGACATGACTCTTGATACTTGATACTTGAATGGCTCGTCTCGCTGGTCGTGCGGGCCACAGCATAATCTCCATCTATCGGAGATTTGTTGGTTAAGCCATTGTGGTTCTCTGGAATCCCGAGATCAGCTTCACCAAAATGTGCCCCAGGTCCTCACCACCACAGGTAGTCGCAGCCCTTGTGCATCAGAGGGAGATTTGCCACCATGAGAATTCGATACGAGGACGGTGGTAGATCCTGTTATTGGTTTACTCTTAGCTAGGCTTTCTGATGGAAACGCCGGACTCCTCAGCTTGTGAGACCTTGCCGGGGTGAATCCCCGCTGTACATCGCAATCCGACACCCTGGAACACCTTCCGGTCATCATGACGCGGTAAACCGTTGGGAGGATGACATGACTCTTGTGGAAGCAATTCATAATGAATAACTAACATGAATAAAATTTGTAGACAAACAGGTACTATAGTTTCTCTTATGAAGAAAAGTTACTAGTCGGCACTAAGCTTAAATTCACAACGGACCACACGTAAACTTTAAAGATGCTAAACTTCCTGCATAAGACAGTAGATAAGATTATTTATTAAAGCACTCCTGGGAGTGGAGAGGTTAAGGAATGGAGAAAAAAAAATTAAAGATTTTGACAGTTTCTTCAGAAAGAAAACCTAACATAACCTTGCGGCTAGGATTTTATTCTCTAAAGAACGCTTGGAGAGAACGAGTGGTGGCACTGTTTCTTGTTTTTGGTTCTTATTTGATGTCTACTCTAATTTTACGAAGTTTCCGTAAGGGCTTTGTGTCTTAAACCTCATGTAAACTACATTTTTATCTTTTTGAAAGAGAATTTCCTCACTCATGTAAACTGTATGTGGGTTATCTCCCTCAACAAGTGAAGGAATTACAGTAAAACAAAAGAGTATTATAAGAAGCTACTTCCAATGTGACTGAAATCTATGTTTTGCGTTGTATCTGTTAGGGTCATGAAAGTATTTGCCTGAGATACCTTATCAGTTCGATCCAGTCCACGCTTTGAAGAAGGCGAAGTATTTAGGAGTATTAGCCAGAATGGACAGTTGTATAAAGGAACTCGTGTCTGCCTATGAAGAAAAGAACGGTTTACTGGTCAGTGTTGAAGAGTTTGATCCAATTCATTCATGAGAGCACGAGATAAGATGGATGTCGTTCCAGAAAAAAAAATAGGTGCGAAATTTACGAAAAAAAAAAGCAGGAATAGCTCTGTGAACATATGTAGACCTCTAGAAGTTACCTAGCAAAAACCCACTCAACAATTTTTTTCGAATTTGTGTTACAATGAAGAAATAAAAGACAACACTTCTATTCGAATCGACGCGGATTGGGAAAATAAATAAATAGATCGTTGCAATATAAATGATAAATTAAAATGGCACATATATAATCTCCAAGAAATGTGGAACATACATTGACAAGTCATTGCAAAATATGTGACAGAAGTTTGTGTTTTCTCTTAGGTCAGCTTACACTCCCATGATTTAGCTCAAGTACTCCATTGATGCAACCACAAGGATGCTGAGATATAAACAAAACTCAGAACTTCAGGTTGGCTTCGAATCTGTGATTACCTCCATCGAGGGCTCTCGTGCTATCCACCCTACCAACCGAGGACATTGATTTGCTTTTCTCTCAACCAGCTTTTTTTTACTCTAGCGGTGCTGGCAGGACACTAATAATGTTTGAAAAAGAAGAAAAATCGTCTTCACTAAAGGAAAGATATGGAAATCGAAGAGACATTTACTTCGGCCGGTCTTCTAATGCACCAGCGATTTTCCATGAACTGTATACATGAAGATTAACTATTTACGTAATGAAGTAAAATGTACAATAAATGTATAGACATTCTAATGAACACCCAGATGTTTCTGGACTGTTTGAGTACTGCGCGTCCCAACAGCGCGTACGTGTTGGAGTCTTTCGACGTTACCGTCCTTTATACAAACGTGTCGAACGACTCCGCTATGCAAGCCATACCCCAGCTCCTTATGTAACACAAAGGAGAAATAAACATGTATGGCTTCTCGATTGGGCAGTTGATGACACTCTTAAAGGAGTGTCTAAACTGCTCAATCTTCAGATGCTCCAGAAAGTACTACTCTCAAATGAGAGGGTTGGCAATGGGACATCGACTGGCACCAAGCCTTACCATTGCATTTATGTCTAAGGTGGAAGCACCAATAACCGATCTCCGGCCACTACTCTACTGTACATATATAGGTGACTGTTTTGTCATTTGTTCAACACAAGAGGAAATGTACAAATGTTTTGAGTTACTGAATGGCAGTCAGAGTATATTAAGTTCACCCGAGAGAAACCGAAGGAGAAAACTGGCTTCCATTTCTGAACGTGCAAATCAACCTATCAGAAAGCGGCTACACTACGAAGTGGTAGCGAAAGCCAAGTAGTAAAAACATACTCGTTCATTACCTCTCCTTTTATCTTTCGCACACAAAAAAGGCGCTTGTAAGAAACAGAGTAGAGTGATGAGTCCAGAATCCTTGTACAGTAAATAGTCATTTCTGACGGCTACTAAACTTTAGCTCGAGATAGGTGTGGAGGTAATTGCACGACCGCAAACGACAACTCTAGCGTCACGTTTATTTTGCACTTCATCTCAAATGAAGTAAGTGCAGCTATAAAACGCTGCTTAATAACGTCCGGTAAAGCGAATTCAGTAACCGTAATTGTGATGCCGCCGAGAACTCTAAGACGCCAGCTAGTTCGTAACCACCTATATGACCGCTTAGGATAGGTGTAGAGGAAATCGTAAGCCTCCAAACGACAACTCTAGCAATAGAAGGGTCCCGTTTATCCTACCCTTCATCTCAAATGATATAAGTACAGCTATAAAACGCTGCTTAATAAGGTCCGGTAAAGAGAATTCAGTAACCGTAATTGTGATACCGCCGAGTACTCTAAGACGCCAGCTAGTTCATTACCTCCCACATGACCGTCTATGTGCAACGCAAAATTGTATAATTTACTCTAATGGTAGAGACGGTGATTGCATGGGTTCGAGCGCAGTTTACCTGATCTCTTGTAAAGCATGTGGGGACGAATACATTGGTGAAACGGGTAGACCATTCTGTGTATGTGTAAAATAACAACTAGTCGGTAAATTGCAACCAACTTCACTAGGCATGTACAGGACGCAGAGACAGAACGGGGAGGATTTAGAAGCAGCGGTTACGATCCTGGCACAGAAATCGAAAACACAGGAGCGCAAAGCTCTCGAGGCATTCTGGATTAATTTGAAGAATCCGAAAAAGAACTGCAGGGAGCGATGCCTTATAATGACGCGTGATATTGGATAATATTTAAACCTGTTATTCTGATGGGAGAAGCACATTACGCTTCTATGTGGGATCTACGCGGTTGGACTCCACATGACATATTCAGTGCCAAACTCATAGAAAGCGGTGAGTGTGCATAGAACCTACTCTGTGTTTAATGTGATTGAAATTTTGGTTTAGCGTTTTCCCTATTTCGTTATGGAGGTGTTCGGCCGGGTACATTGTTGTCGACTTGAGTTTTCCAGACTCTGGGGATGGCGAAACGTCAACTTGTGCGTAAATAAAGAAATAAAATAACACCTAGTGTTTGCTAAACAAGAATATAAAGATTTATGCATATATATAAATATATGAGGGCCCGTGTGGCGCAGTGGTTGGAGGCGCCACAGCGACGCACACGTGGAATCGATCCCCGCGCCCATGACCTACCAAGCCTTTCATCCTTTCGAGGTCGGCAAATTGGTACCAGACTTCTCTGGTAGGATAGCAGCACTGACTCGATACATCGGTAGGCCACCGCAAGTCAATGTAAAGGCCAGATATGCATTTCATCACCTCCAACGATACTTAATAAAATCAAATGCATGGCGCATCCCTCAGGGATTGATCTACGGCGAGAGCTTTATCCTTTTATTCTTAGTTTCTAGGATCTAGGATATAGTTTCAAACCATACCTGGTCATCTGATGGATCATATTCCAGTGGCTCCTCATCACTTCGACCGTCAAATTCAAGTTTATACTCATCTTGTGAATCCGAATGAAGCGACAGACAATCATCCGAATGGTCGGATATCACCGTGCTGTCTTTCACTTCTTGCACTTTCTCAGCGCACTCTTTAGCGTTATAATTAAGGCTATTTCGTAATGCCTTCTTCTCTTTCACCCGAATAGGCAAACCCAGTCGAAGGGCAAGATTTCTGAAAACATGGATAAGATCATTCAAAAAGTGGAAACAAGTTGTATATCGTCTGCGCTTCAGAACAGTAATTTTTCTAGGTCCAACACTAGAAGAATAGGAATTCGCGACACTCCACCAACCTTATATCATTTGTGGTCGTGTAATGGAGGCGATTTATTGGTGGATATTCGCTCTTCATTTGAGCACAAATGTCACTAATCGCTACGTGCTGTTCAAGAAGTTTCCGCAGAACGTCGCATTGTCTAGAATTATGCACAGATCCTGTTTGCAAGTTTGCCGGTTTAACCAACCAATACGACCATAAATCACTACCACTGGAAAACACATTAGAAGAAGCGAACTAAACACGGCTGTATAAAACCACAAGCCACGATACCAGAGTTGGATTCAACGTCAAAAGAAAGAGTCAAAAGTGGCTCAGCAGCCAGTGTTGCTGACTTTTCACTTGTCATCATTATCGAACACGGTCGCCCGATAAAAATGTACTCTAAGCGCAACAACGTACAATAGAAAAAAGGAAGAGTTTTAAGATGGCCAGTATCTATCGCCAAAAAAGCAAATCATAAAGAAAATAACACAATCCAACTATGACCGTGTATGAATGAGCTGAAGGATTCATAGCAACACTGTCCAGATTAAGAAAAAGTAAGCATAAGTCATTGTCCGTACCTTTCATTTAACCTCAAGGCAGTTGGATCAAGGTCATGAAAAATGTGGCCGAAACAACAAGTGACGTCGATGCTTCCGTCGCTATACTCATTGGTCTGAAAAACCTTCTTTTTCCCAATACGACGTCAGTTCCAAATATTTTTCACCAACAATGTAAAGCATACCACTAAGAGGAGATTCATCTTTTGTAAGTGTAAGTCTTTTTATTGACAATTTAAGGCTGTTGACTTCCATTCTTACTGTTTTTTCTTCCAGCTCTACTTAATACACCATAGAAGTAGCCCTTCTAATCTCTCTCTACAACTCTCACTTTACGTAATCCATACCATCCTGATTATCGACCCATAGGACTGATTCATCATAGTAAATGCAACCGAGGTGACCCAAGTATGAGATCGCTTGCGAAATAGCTTCAAACTTATTTCTTGGAACTTTGCGATCATTTTAAAGGAAATTTTCAAGGATTTGTGATTGTATTATATAGTATTTTAACGTACAGATCACCTTCTTTCTCTCTCTCTCTCTCTCTATTTCTATGCTCATAAATCCGTTCCTGTGTTATTAATCTGAGCTCAATTTCGGATAATACAGTGAAGCACCAAATTTCAACGATTTTTCTTATGAGTATACACTTTATGCAATGCCGCAGAAACGACTTGCAACATCAAGTGGTGCATTCGTTGAAACAATCCAGCGATCGCCGTTACGCTGATTTCAAAACCTCCGTGAAACGAACTATATTACAGAAGAAAAGGACACTTAAGGGCAACAGGCTACCAACAGTATTACTCAATGGCGCCAGTTGAAATAGACTTCGTTCGACAGGTCGTGGAAGGATTAATGAGTACACAAGCAATTTTCAAACTTCACAACTGAACCGAAGAACTAAAAAATCGGCAACTCTATACTGCATTGACTGAACGAATAGCATAGAGTTCATTGTTATAATGTTCCTGCCATAGTTTTCTGTGCTAGGTTTCATAAAGATGAACGCTCTTCAGCGGGACAGCGATATGAACAATTCAGATCACACAGCACATGAAGTATGGACAGTCGTATGGGCAAACGAGTATTTGTACTAAGGGATGGATCATGTGAATCAAATACAATCCATGTCTTAGTCCTATAATACCTAAATTTTATAGAGATAACTGCCACGACCGACTTTCTATTAACCTCGGCATTGATCAAGTAATATTCTTCGTATTTTTGTTGAGCAAACGCGAGGTGTTATTATTCTTTGTTCACGATTAAGCTGACGTTTCGGTGGATTTCGCCTTCCTCAGAGCCTGGAAAGGTCAAGTTGATAGCAATCTACTCGGCCAGACGCCTCCATAACCAAACAAAGAAACTCCAAACCAAGATTTCAATCACTTTGAACACAGCTTTGCACACTCACCGCTTCCTACGAGGTTTCCACTAAGTATATCACGTAGAGACCAGCCGCACAGGAATCACATGGAAGTATAATGTGCCCCTCACATCAGAAAAGCAGTTTTATATACTGCCCTATATCACGCGTGATAATGAGGCATTCTTCCCTGCGGTTCATTTTCGGATTTCTGGAATTAATCCAGAGTGCCTCGAGAGTTTTTTGCGCCTGTGTTCTTGATTCGCATGCGAGGATCGTGACACATACTTCGAAGTCGTCCCTGTTATATCTCTGGGTCCAATGCGTGCCTAGCGGGGTATTTGGTCTATTTTTGCCGGCTAGGTGTTCTTTCATGCGGACACAGAGGGGTCTACCCGTTTCACCAATGTATTCGTCACCACACGTCTTACAGGAGATCAGATAAACTATACCCGAGCTCATGCAAACACCGTCTCTACCACTGGGGCAAATTATGCAATTTTGAGTTGCACATAGACGGTCATATAGGCAGTTACGAACTAGCTGGCGCTTAAGATTACTCGGTGGTATTTCAACTACGCTCACCGAATTCTCTAAGCCCGCCCTTCTTAAGCAATGAAGGGTAGGATAAACGGGACCCTTCTATCGCTAGAGTTGTCGTTTGGAGGCCTACGATTTCCTCTACACCTATCCTGAGCTACAGTTCCGTAGCCATTAGAAATGGCTGTTTGCCGTGCCAAGTTCCGGGACTCCTCTCTCTGCCAGTTATCGGTTTAAAACCGCGAAACGATACAGCTCAAACCTCACTCCAGTGCAAAAACGTGTTATCTGAGAGGTACGAGAGCTGATAAGGTTGAAAACCATAAGACTTTCCATTAGGATAAGGGTGGAGAGTTTGTCGTAATTCCTCATCAGTTAGATGTGGAGATAACGAAAAAGCATCTTGAAGATGCTTCACTTTATCGCCCATCATCTGAGGAGGAATTCAAAAGTAAATACCGAAAACTAAACCACGAATGGGCCAAAATGGCAAGGGGTTTAAAAAAAACCATTAGTTATCTCTCAACTTAAAGTTGACTTACCAACATGCCCCGTCTTGTACTTACTCGTAAAAACTCATAAGTTAGTATCCAGCGATGATCTTGCGTCAAACGATCCATCACTATTTAAGATTAGACCTATCGTTAGCTGCGTAAACGGGCCAACGGACAGGATAACATGGTTTTTAACCCTGATATTTAACCAGTTGTTGAAACACTTTCCAGCCCATCTTACGAATACCCAGATGTTTCTGGATCGTCTACGTACTGCGCAGCTCAACAGCGCGTGCGTGATGGAGTCCTTCGACGTTACCGCCCTTTATACAAACGTGTCGAATGACTCCACAATGCAAGCCATATTCGAACTCCTTACACAACACGAAGGAGAAATAAACATGTATGGCTTCAGGATAGAGCACCTGATGGCACTCTTAAAGGAATGCTTGAGCTGCTCAATCTTCAGATGGTCCGGAAAGTACTACGCTCAAATAAGAGGGTTGGCAATGGGACAACGACTGCCTCCAAGCCTTGCCATTGCATTTATGTCTAAGGTGGAAGCACCGGTGACTGATCTCGGGCCGCTACTCTACTGTAGGTATGCAGACGACTGCTTTGTCCTTTGCTCAACACAAGAGGAAATGGACGAATGCTTCGAATTGTTGAATGCACAGTCAGAGTATATCAAGTTCACCCGAGAAAAGCCGAAAGACAAATGGCTTCCATTTTTGAACGTACAAATTCACCT